GGGGGATTTGGGGTGTTTTGGGGTGCCTGACCCCGTGGGTGCCCCCCCCCCCCCGGGTACCTGGAGCCGGCGCTGGGGGTGCTGCGGGGGGGGCTGGGGGACCCCGAATCCTCCGTGCGGGGGGCGGCCGCCTTTGCCCTGCGCAGCCTGGCCGACTGCCTGCAGGTACTGGGAGCACTGGGATGTACTGGGAGAGGGCTGGGATGTGCTGGAGAGCACTGGGAAGGCTTTGGGCTATGCTGGGGTGCAATGGGACGTTCTGGGAGGGTGCTAGGTGATACTGGGGGGTGTTGGGTTGTACTGGGAGGGACCTGAGCCTTACTGGGAGGGCTGTGGGCTGTATTGGGGAGCACTGGGAGAACCATATGGCATAGTGGGAGGGCTTTGGGCTGTATTGGGGAGCACTGGGAGGACTGTATGCCATACTGGGAGGGCTCTGGGCTGTACTGGGGGACACTGGGAGAACCATATGGCATAGTGGGAGGGCTGTGGGCTGTATTGGGGAGCACTGGGAGGACTGTATGCCATACTGGGAGGGCTCTGGGCTGTATTGGGGAGCACTGGGAGAACTGTATGCCATACTGGGAGGGCTCTGGGCTGTACTGGGGGGCATGGGGGGGGCTGTATGCTGTACTGGGAGGGCTCTGGGCTGTGCTGGGGGGCACGGGGAGTCTGTACACTATACTGGGAGGCTTCTGGGTTCTGCTGGGGAGCACTGGGGGGGGTTCTGGGCCATACTGGGAGCTGCTAAACCATACTCGGAGAAACTGGGAGGGCTATAGCTATACAGGGAGCTCTTCAATTATAGTGGGGGGGTCTTAAGTTATACTGGGATGGGTTTGGATTGTAATGGGAAGCACTGGTAGGAGCGTTGTCTGTACTGGAAAGTTCTGAACTGTACTGGTTCATGCTGGGAGGACCCTGGAACAGCCTGCCGGGGGTTGGGGGGGGGTAGTTTGGAGACCCTGCATTCCCACCCGCCCTTACTGGTCCATACCGGTCTTTACTGGTGCGCAGCCGGAGGTGACAGCGGTGGCGGAGGCGGCGTTGCCGGCGGCGCTGGCGGCTCTGGGAGGGGACCCGGGGGTCCGGCCCCCCCCCGCCAAGGCCTGGTACATCCTGGAGAGTCTCCTCGAGTGTCTCGGTAGGGACCCCGATATTTTGGGGGGGGGACACCCCCATATTTTGGGGGCACACCCCCATATTTGGGGGGGACACCCCCCGGCGTTTGGGTGAGGACCCCGGTGTCCCCCCGTCCCCAGGAGAGGGGGTGGGTCCCTGGCTGCCCCCCATCCTGGAGACCGTTTTGGGGGCGTTGGAACTTTCGGGGCCCCCCCGGAAAGTGGAGCTGGGGCTCAGCGCCCTCCACTCCCTCGGTGAGTCCCCGAA